CTCTCTCTCTCTGACACACACACACGCACACATTCTGCTGCTACCCTCCCGCATACCCGCCTGGAATAATACATGACGCAGGTAACATGCGGTGCGACACGCGGGTGTAATGCATTCCCCGTGAGTCGGCGCGGCGGCGGCGCGAGGTGGAAGGGGAGGGGGGCATCACTGGGGAGCAAGGGCCGTCCCTCCTATACTGGGCGCGCCGGGCGGGCGCCTGGCAGGTAGGCAGCGGCGGTGCAGGCTAGTGCGCCGGGCCGGCCTACCCGGAGCGCTGACAGGCGCTGAGGAGCGCGTCCACCGTGTCGTGCCCGACTGGCGTGGAGCCTGTAGGGACGACGTTCATCGCTGTGAGCGAGACGTTCGTCGAAGCGAGTGCGCGCAGTAGAAGCAAGCGGACCCCCCGCCCGGCAAGAGCCCTCTGCTGGGTGGGAGGAAGACCACCTCCGAAACGAACGGCAACTGCTCGGGCGCATCCGCAAGGGCACTAGTGGTACTACGTAAAAATAAGGAGGAAGGCAAAGGGATGCGTCCGAAGTGCTGGCGCCGCCGCTGCCGCTACGCACGGGGGAGACACAAGAGGATCGTGACTCGAGTCGTGTCCCGGCGATAAGCCCGGCGGGGACGCGTGGAGTCGTGCCGCCCCGATGAGACAACAATGAGAGTCCAGCAGCCGTCATAAGCCGCGCACCGGTGCATCCGGGCGGCTCCCGCATGCGGCCCGGCCCCGGCGCAGCGACAGCAGCGCAGCGCCAGCGTCTGCCCGGCCCGGGCCTTATCGCCGGAGAGGCATCGCCATGCGCAGAATATAATTCGGGCCGGCAGGACCTCCTCGTCGTGCCCCAGGTGGGCCCCGGCGAGTCCCCGAATATAACCCCCAGCTCTGTGCTCCGGCGGGCGCTCCTCTCTCTGTCTGCTCTGCCAGCGCCAGAAGAAAGACTTACGTAGAGTCGTGTCGTCGTCGGCGAAGGTTCATTGTCGCCTCGTTTGTCGTCAACAATTACGTATACTTACGCGTGTGCTCACAAACTTACTCCCTGCATCACTTCGTCTCCCGCTCTCTCCGTTCCTTTCTTACCTGAAAGCACACAAGAGAAAACGAAATCCGGATTAATTAACCACTTCAGGAAACGGAAAAGAAGAAGGAAAGTGACAATAAAAGAAAAGCAGGTGCCACGATCGGGCCTGGCAGTGAAATAGAGACAGGTCACAGGCGACGGGCGGGACGGAGCAGGGCAGGACTGGGCGGGGCGCGGGTCGGGGAGCGGCGGAGTGAGGCCGGGTCGGGTCCTAGCAGCACCCTGCTGGCGGGACACGCGCGCGACCGCACCACGGGGCTCCGCGGGGAGGGGGGAAAGGGGGGGGGCACTTATTTACACGCCACGCCGCGCCACGCCGCGTAGCGCACAAGCGCTGCATGGCGCAGCAGCAGTGAAAGTGAGAATGTGTCGCGCTCGGGGGGCGTCATATCTTTAATAGGAATGGCTATGAGAAATCGAGGCGCTCAGCAAAAGGGCGTTTATACGTACACGGGACCTGCTGTGTGGCGCGCGCTGTGCACGCCTATGTACGGCTGTGAGGAGGTGCGTCGTCGTCGTCATCCTCCCCCTTCCCTGCTCCCCCGCGCGGGGGGCTTAACTACCTCAGCCACCTGGCGCACCTGGCTACTGTCGCTACGGGTCCGTGTTCGTGTGTGTGAGTGTTGTGTGTGTGTGTGTGTGTGTGTGTGTGTGTGTGTGTGTGACGACGCACACGAGGCGAAAGTGCAACGCTCGCTGCCGTCCTGGCCGCTCTTTCTTCCAAGGCGCCACGACACGCCGCGCCTTCGAGACAAGATGCAGGCAGGACCGTAAAACGGGTAATGACGGAGAGTTGCCTGATGTGAGACCAATCCGTCGTCGCCCCCTGCTTTACAGGCCCGCGCCGCGGTGCGCCCAACCCCGCCCCGCTACGCCCCGCCCCGCCTCGCCACGCCCCGCCCGCACAGTGTGTTCAACTCATCTGGCCGCGCGTCCAGGTCCAGCGGTCCAGCGGCAGCCAGCGGGGGGGAAAATGACTCAGTCAAGAGGAGATGATAGTCGGCTCCGCCACGCCCGCCCGCACCACCGACCGCGGCACCCGCCCAGCCGACTGGCTCGGCGTTTAGAGCGGTTTAACTACTAGAAAGAGTTTCACCACCACCTACCACTAAGTGAGATAAAAAAAAAACACCGTCGTCACAATTTGCCGCGGGACAGTGTTGGTCCGTTTGCGACAAGTTTGAGAAATGGAACACTGTTAAAAATATTTCATTACATTTTCATTACATGTTGTGAAGCTATTTTCATTAGATTTTCGTAATGATATTTAATAACCTTTTCATTACGTATTGTGGAATTTCATTACATTTTAATGAAGTTTCACAATAAGCAATGTAAAAGTTATTAAATATCATTACGAAAATCTAATGAAAATAGCTTCACAACATGTAATGAAAATGTAATGAAATATTTTTAACAGTGAATGTATTGAAAAAAGTATTAAATAACTGACATCACTGACATCGTCATCCTTTTTCGAGTAAGTTGCTCGATAAGTTGTAACACCTGTTGGCAGCGAGCGAGACTTGCTCCATCTTTCGTACCGCCGCGCTAGCAGCCACGGGAGAGCTTGCAGAGGGGATACCGAGCCATCAGTGGATCACGCCGCCGCCGGAGGATCGGATTGGATAAAAGCATGCGATCCCTCCGCGGAGAGGGAAGCACTACGGGTTGGCGTTGGCCCGGCCCGACGCGGACCCAGTGAGAAATGCAATTTCAATAGTCTTCTAGTCCTCGTTTGACGTCAATTCGATTTTGCCCAGAGCGAATAATCGTCGAATTTTCTAATTCGACGCGTCGACTCGATGACGATTTGAAACTCCATTCCTCTGGGGCAGCACAATAATTTAGTTCCACATGTGGACGCGTCGCCTACTCGCAAGGGGTAATCATCCAGAAAGTACGTCCGCCTTTTGCCGTTACAAAACTGATTAGTTCAGCCTTTTAAAGCTCCCCTATGGCGCCTAAATGGTAGGCAACATCTGCACACGCGCACTGCTGGGTTGCCTACCCTGGTTTCCGCAGGCGCCAAGCTCGAACGAATCTGAGAACAGCAGCGAACGTACTTTCTGGACGATCCCTAAGAGCCGCAGCCGCCGCACAGGACGGCGGAGCGCGGGCAGGGAAATAACACGACATAAGCGGAAAAAAGAAGCACTGCGCGGCGTGGTGGAAGGCAGAGATCGATCCCCGTGGCTGCTCGAGCAGCTGCACGGTGCACTGCGGGGGGCGGTGGAGGGCGAGGGGGG